TCCACTCGGTTATTTCTCGTAAGGATGCAAGATTTGGATGTGTGTGTGCACCATGAACTTGCGATGTGACCTCGACGATGTCATGATCAGATGCAATAAAATGTTCTTGTAATCAAAACAGCAGACCTCCGCCTTAACTATGACGACAGCCCGTAATGTCGGTAGGGGAGGCTGCAGAACGCTGCCGGTGCACGGCGCACCTTGGACAAAGGAAATACATTTTCATCAAAAAGCCTCAGTCGGGGACTTACTTAGTATATAAAGTCGAATCCATAAATTAACGTCTAAAAATTTGTAAAATATTGGACTTATTTTTGGATATTCCTTTTTGCAATTATCGCACATTCCTAGACATCCTAAGGATGAGCAGAAATGGAAATCATTGCTACGTTTATATGGGTTCTTCAAGTGTACAATTTAGAGTGAAAATATTTCCAGCGTTGGCTACTGTTAACAGTTTTTCTTAAAAAAATCTCTTTTGTCTTCTTATACGTGTCTACTTTTAAGCAGTTGTGAACTCACAAGTGAATAAAGTCTTGAACAACGAGAAGTCTATTACGTTTTTTTCGATATTCAGTCGCAAAAAAGTCGCAAATTTTAAGGACCAGCTTTTCATGAGGATGAAATGCCCACCAACTTTATCTTACTTCTTCTTTCTTTCAGACAATTTTTGAGACAAAATTCAGACTCACGATAATTTTGCAGTGGTGGATTAATCACTCATTCGTAAAAAATCGTCTCGTACCCTGGATATAATTTTGCCTTGCATTCTTGGCTTCAATTCTGTTACAATTGGAAATCTCTCTACCCTTTATTGCTCACACTCATTTCTCTTCGCACAAAAAACCTAAATAAAGAATTCACGCAGTTTTTAGCTAATAATTTGCGAACTTCGACCGATGTCGTTTGCTCCATCATAAGATCATTTGTCATCAGAACTCGGATTGCTTCGTTTTCATTCTCACAAAGCGTCAGTGAAGATGGATGATCGCTGATGATCTCATCAGCATAGCTTGTCGGACATTCAGAGACGACGATGCTCATATCGCTCATACCGAGCACACGACACGAGCGACACTTGGCAGCAGAGTGTTTAGTCTATAACGCCGTCTTCAGAATACTACCCTTGAGTGAGTTGGTAATTATTGTGGTAAAATGTTCTGTCTTGTATATAATGAATCAAGTAATCAATTTGTTTTTTATTCACTAGTTATTGCATTAAACATATTTAATCCTATAGTGATTTTATTAATATGCAACATAAATCCCTGAACTCAAATTTAAACTACACGATTCTTTTTAGCAGAATTTTACAATGAAAAAATTCTATGAATGCTTTAATTCAATTTTATGTCTCCCACTGGAATAGGTCATGAAAATTCAAGATTAAAACAGCAACTTCGCGGCAAAATGTTTTAATAGCAACTAAACTCAAGGAAGCCAATACAACGGCATTTGATTCACCGCGCGTTTGGGCGCCAGAGAACAATTCGGCTCAAACAACTGTAATTAAAGTCCACAGAGTTGGTGGAATGGCATCACAAAGGCTCCTTACAACCAATGGAGAGTGCCAATTGAAAACCGACGCTCTCTTTTCTTTCATTTATTTCATTTTATTTTCTTTCATTTATTTCATACCTCAATACGTGTTGCACTCTTTTATCGCTCAACTTTACTACCATTAAATAGTTTAAAGTATAGGAGCATTTTCATGATTGTATCGAGTAAGTATTCCTATTAAACATGCTTATTTATTCACAGTTGCCAGAGTATATTTCTTGCGTGTACGTACAGATAAATTTCACATCAATTCTATTCTGATGAACGATTACACTTTACTTTTCATAACGCATTTTTGCCTGAAGTGTCTCTTTAATAACAGTTATCAAGATAGAAGTTAATATTACCAATCTCGGTAGAGGGAGATCGACTTCTCATTTTTTTAAATTTATTAGTTTGGTAATTCTGCACCAAAAATATTTGAAAGCAGTTTGACAAGCTGGTTACATTGAAGCCTGCAATAAATTTCGGCAACAACCTGCATGGTTCTAAATTAAAAGCGATGTCGGCTAGCGAGGCATATGCCGCTTGATTAAAAATACCTCAAAATTAAACGTTACGTCGTGTTTGATTTTTTAATTAAGAATCACAGCATAATTTCAGTTTTCATTTCAGCGTAAAGGAAAAATTCGACAGTAAAAAGACACAACAGGTTACAATTAACATGCCGTTGTTCATTGTTCAGTTCCTTAAAAAATCGTTGGTTTCCAAATTATCATTCATTTTAGCTCAGATTTCATTCCGAAAATACATATTTTATGTTATTCTGAACCTATCAGGGAGCATGAACTGACTAAAAAGTGAACGCATTGTTGTACCGAATAAAACAAATTGCTATGGTCATTCCTCACTGCAACTTGCTACGTCGTTTCGATGTTGTTCGTGTTATTCCACACAAAAGTCAGATGTTTTCTCTGTATAATTTAAATTCATTCCAATTGTTTGCCTGAGCTACGCTTTCAGTTCAGACGCTTCAGCCAAGTCGACACTCGTATTTTTTGCAACTTTTTAGGATAAAAATTTGTTGCATTTCAAAATATCTGAAAAAAATAATTCTGAACGAGATTTAATGTCGTAAATAGATATAAAAAAGGTTCCATATTATTTTTTAAAGGAAAATGAAGTTTTCTAAAAATTTACAGTAGTTAAATTGACAAACATTGAAAATCCATTAAATGTGTTCATCAAGTCCGATTGTGTCAAACTTTATGGCGAGCTATTATATTTCTGTTAAGGGTTTTACTAAATAAAAGGAAGAATATCGCTGATTTTACAGTTAAATAATAGCAAGGGAGTACGGGCAATTGCCCAATGTCGATGACGTGCAGAACGGCTTCTGACAGTTTTGGAAATAAGTGAACTCTTTATCAGCCAACAAATAGTTTCAGATACGCTCCTTTTTTTACTAATTGCAAACAACAGACAGTAAAAAATAAAATGTAGGTATAGAAATACGTTTTTTTTTCATTCTAATGAACGTTCTGACACAGCACTGAGTTGACCACGAATCCTTCCAGAAGCTTTATGCGACTAAATACTTAACAAAACTTCACATTTCGGTGTTATTTTATTTTTTACTCTTGAAAACAAAACCAGCATTGAGAAAATGACATAGAAATTGAGTTAATTCAGATATTCAATCCTGAAAACCATTTCAATCTCCTTTGAAGTTCTGCGCAAGACCAAGGATGCAGAAGCTGGTAAAAAAAAGTCACAATTTTCTCGAAGTGCAGAAAAAGAAGCATTTTAATAAAATTTCAGTCTTCGGTCGACTGAAAATATTTTAACTCAAGCTACACGGTGCACCCTGGGCAGCGAAAGACATATACCTTCTGCTGATGAAGAATAACATGTTTGTTGCTTTCCATCCAGTATCAGGGTCTACGAATTGCCTTCCGTGACCTAGGATAGGAATCGAATGTTGTCAACCGAACCTTCAACATAATTGCCTCGTAAAGGGTGGAAAGGAGTCCTATTCACGCAAACGCTAGGCAAATAAAATTGAATTGGGCCTAAGGTTAGGTAGTTGGGATGCATAAAACGTGATTTCTATGGCACTTTAATCTGCACGACATCTGTGACCATCCATTAAATTATCAAATGGACATTGATTTCTTAATTTGCTGGCGACGGTATGTAGAAAAAGTTTTAAATGGACTATATATACAATGCACGGACACAGATTCCGTCAAGTAACTAAAAATTAAACAAAATAAATAATCCTTGCAAGCGATAAAAATTTATCTTCTCTCACTAACCTTTTTGTTGCTCAGGGAGACGCGGTAAAAAGTTTGTGAACATAGACGACTGCCTTGCGTATTTTCAGTTAAAAATGTATTTTCCTTCAAGATCCTCATTTATCACAAAGATCCGGCGCTGAGCCAAATATTTTTACGAGAAGCAAAATGAACATTTAACTTTCAAAAAGTGCAGAACAAAGCCTACTGGGGTAACAGATGAAATGAGCAGAATAATTTTCACCAGTTCAGATTTTTTCAAGTTCACGCACGAAAACTTCTCAGATTGAGGTGACTTGGAATCAAATTTATTGCCGTTACCACGACGCCTTTGGGAGTTTCAGAAAAAACGGCCGACTTTAGAGACGACTGAATATATTTGCGCTGAATCGTGGAACGCACACTCGTGAATGACACTAAAATAGTCAGGTGCAACGAACATTTTTCGAAGCCAAGCCCAGTACTGAAACGATATCCTATTGTATTCAACTTTTTTGAAATATCAATAAGAATTTATTGCGGCTTGTGATAGAAGAAGGCTTCAGGAAATGACTTTATTGCAGATTCTGCTTCCTTGAATGAAAAGGTTCAAGATCTTTATCAAGAATTTCTAAGGTCTGTTCGCATATAAAAAATGAAAATCAATTTGAAATTCATTGCGAAGGTTAGAGGCGGTAACGACCCTTCGCTCACGTTTTGTTTTCTATTAGGTAACTTTTTATTAGAAATCACTTTTCACATCTTTTAAAATTATTTCAGGTGAAAATATAAAAAAAACTGCTCACTTAAATAAATTCAAGAAACCCCTTCTTAAACGAAATGCCTCTGGTTCGCTTTTTCAGATTGATATGAAAGAAATAAAGTCGATGTCTGTAACAAGTCGATTCCATGAAATCCCACGCAGTTGTAATGTGAACGAAACTGCCTTTTTCTTCGTTGTTCAAGGTAACAGAATGTCTCTGACCTCAGATAACTACGACAAACCTTAAAATTCTTACCGGATTGAAATATTTCTGAATTTGATGAAACTCTTGTAAAATTATCACTTTCTCGAGTTACGAACCACGAGAAATTTATTACCGATGTATAATTTCGACTTTTTTGTCGTGGAATTCAAGCTTCCTCCTTATATCTCACGAAAATTTTCAACAATTCCAGAATTTGAATTTTCGAAAAACAAGCCGAGGGTTACAAAAACAAAAGTATGCCTGCAAGTTTTTTTCTGGGTTTCTTACAATTATAGAACAGAAATCACACAATATTTCATATTTGCATGATGAATATGAACTCCCTCTTTGTGGAGTCATGAGAAAGCTTTTCGTTCTATTGCAAAACGTAGTTGTCAAAATACTCAGACGTCGTCCAAAAACGAAAATTCGTCTCCAAAATTAAACTGAAACCCCGTTTTCTCAAATCACAACAGTACTTCATCACGAAAAACAACTATTAATCATAGCAAAGTGGTTTCAATTATTATCACTGAGAAGGCTTTTGTAAATGACGAGGCTGCCACTGAGACGGTCGCTCATGCTAGTCTTCTCGACGACAGCCAAGTGGACGGCTGGGGCCTGCGGGCCCACGGGGGCGGGACGCCACGCCGAGAAGCTGACTATGTGGCCAGCTTGCAGCTGTCCTTCTCTTATGAACCTTATTGGAATATAACCTTATTATTATTATTATATTATTATTATTAAAAGGTATATATATAATAATATAGATGACCTCCAATATATGATGAAACTTGATATAATTATTGGATAGCCTGAGATTAACCTCGAAATTACAATAATTACTGTTAATGACGGCAGATAAAGACATCAGTCACATCGTGATAATCATTTATTCGCTAAAAAAATATCAATTGCTATCAGTTAAATCAATTCAAGGAAATTTATATACCCTATTGGTTATGTAAAATGCGAGGCACACAATTTACTTACAGACTCAATTGATTATTTGATACAGTGAAAAAAAAATCGACGAGCACAACAAGAAAGTAGGCGGCAAATAAAAGATAATGCAAAAACTACATAAATGATTAGTCCACATCGAAATTTTATTGTGCACCCTCAATGGAAATTACATACAAATATAGTTTTTTGAAATAAACTTCTACAATATTATATCAAGGCATATGCGGACAATTTGATTATAACTTATTTTAATTGATTATAGGGAACTTATTGTCACAAGAACAAGCCGGTGAATTGTTAAGAGATGTCTTGTTCATTTCTAATTTCAAAAAGACTATAGTGAGTATAAATAAAAAATATAAAGTATAGTATAAAAACTATAGTGATGAAGTGAAACAAATTAGGGCGCACTTAGCGTTATGTTTGGCAGCATATCTGAAGAGGTCTCCGTCAGTAGTGTGCACGAACAGCAGCACTTGGTGCAGCTCAGGGTCGTCGAGAAGCAGTGCTTCGCGGGCAGACTTGAGGGGGAAGCGCTGGTGCAGCTTTAGTGCGTCATCCTCCAACCTAAAATTGGGATTGTTATTGCATCGTCGAGCTGAACTGATAATGCAATGTTATTTAATGATAATATAAATAAAACTGTTTAGTGGGACTCAAGCCTTACGCGTAATATCACTTTCATTAGCTATTTGATAATCTGGTGCCAAAAGTATTGGATCAATTTGCCAAAAAAAATTATTACTTGGGATAAAGTTAGCAATCAACAGCGTTTTATTAAAGTGAGGATAATATCCTTTTCAACTTAAAGTTTCATCGAATTCATGTGTGGAATAAAGTTAATAAAGTTTCATTCCACACAAATAAGCTGATCTTCGGGGAGCTTTAGTAATGAATTGCACTGAATGACCGTAAGGCTAAGCTCCGATGCGATACTGTGAGAATCTCCAGACGACCTAACGCAGTTACTTGGATATGTAAAAAAATTCTTACTTTTGAATTATTCACCATGATTGTTAAATGGTGTTAATTGAAGCGAGCATACCTAATCATACTTCAATAATGATGAATTTCCAAGCCACCCGCCAATGTACAGAAGTAAAAATTCTCGTCAAGTTCAGAGTACTATTACCCGTCCAGCCGATGACAATCCCCGTTCCCTAAGCTAATCCTCCGTGGGATGAAGCGCAGTTATCGCTGCCGGTCAATGGTGGACTTAACTGCGATGCTAGTCCTGACTTAGCAGATAACGGCCATCAAGCTTACTTTTTATGTTAGGGGGATCATCACAAACGGTAACGGCATGAAAAACGTAAATGGTGGAGCGATTTCTGGACACGCAAAAATAATTGAGCCTTTTTTGGCTCGTTTTCAATGCGCTCAGAAGCAAAATGTGTTCCTGCTTCTTGCATTTATGCTTTATACAAAATCAAATTTGTGGCTTGCGAAAAAATTGTATTTTAAGTTTTTCTAATGATTGACAAAGCACATAGCTGTCGCAACGATATACCGAAACTTTACGTAACCAAAGGCAGTGTAATTCATCATTTAACTCAGTTCAAACAATGGCCCAGCAGTCGACGGATAATGGTAATGATTAGCGATAATCAAAGACCTATCATGAATGTTAGGTCAATTCAATTTAAATGGTATTTTTATTTTTCATTTAATAAATAAGTAACTTGATTTTAATTTTTAACCAATTTTTTGGGCGAATAACATCACCTGTAGACAGACACGGCCTTGCAGTGCCCCCTGAAGTTCCGGCTGACCGTGGCTACCAGCACTCCAGAAGCATGAGTGGCAGCGCTCACAGAGATCACCCCGGCCTCAGACAAACTCTGACAAATTTAGTCACAATTAAAATATACAGAATTACAGAAACTGTCACAATTCAAATATACACAATTCAAATATTTTATATTATTTTACAGAATCACGGATAACGATCAATGAATCATTAGCCGATAAATACAGAAAATGTTATTCTTCACATAAGTTAAACCAAAGAAAATTTCTGGTAAAAAAAGCAGTCTAGGACGGTTTGACTGATTATTAGTATTTAAAACTATTAATATTCACTCATGAAAAATGTCGAGGTATTTTCGTTATCCCAGAATCTAATTTTTGCTGCATTGACAGATTTTTGGGAAATAAGGAAAAATATTCATAAGGCTAATTGAACAAAATTGCTGTGTGTAGGAAATAATTCCTAATTTTTCTGACAGAAAATAAATGCATCTCATTATCTCTTAGGTTACAAGCATAAAATAATGCAGATTTAATTAAGTCCCCCTCACAAATTGCCGGGCGTATTTTCCAGTCGAGTCATTCAAAGCCCACACGTCCAGAGAGCCCGAGTACGGATCCATGCCTAAGCTCGCCGTGATCAGCCTTGTCGAGCCATTCCGGGCTACAGCCAGCGCCTGTATTGCAGCAATTTATATCCCTTTTAAAGATCAAAGGAATTACTCTCGCCTTACTGCAAGCTCTAAATAATTATAATTTTCAAAGTCATCAGTTATGTTCAAAAACTTGAAATATGAAAAAAATATTAATAAATATTTCGAGCGTTCCGAAGTAATTGAAGCAAATTAGTATTTAGGAAATATGTTCTGAGGTGAATAACCTTAATAAAATTATAACAAGTATATTTTATGAAACGCACCCGCATTATGCACCCGTACGAACTGCCCCAAAGCGAATAAAATACATCAAAATGCCTTATTTTCTATTCACGTCATTTATTACACATATTCAATACATCTGTAGCGCAACATTTGCAAAATATTCAGAAACCGTGCGCGATATCTTACCTGAATAGGTCGCTGTATCGGCAAGTTCTGGAGTCGGGAATAATCCTCTCCTCGCTTGCAGACGATCGGTAGCACGGGAGAGGATGTGCTGAGGAGGCCAATGCAGGGGTTGTTTTCGTGCTCCCATGTCTAGAGGAGGATCTTAATGTAGGTTTAATCCAGTGTCCACGCTTCACAGTTATAAACAAATTAATACGGAGCCATGCAGGAATAACAACGTCAGATAAAAATTTAACGTGGATTAACCTTTTCGAGTGGAAACCAGGCTCTGGATACAATTACGTCTACTGAATTAGTGATGCAACTCGTTTTTGAAATACCCTCAAATTGTCAAGGAAATTTTGCAACGAGCTTGATATTGCACCTTTAATTGAGGCATTTTCATACATCATGATGCATGTCTCTTAATATCAAGTATCACTAGTGAATTATGAAGATATTGCTTACTTTTTAAAAATTTTTAGCCAATGCATTTTCATTTCTGCAAGGAGAAGTAATTTTTTTTTCTGCCTACACCATTCGCCTTCTGGAAAATTACCAGCACATTTATGCTCACGCTATAATTAACGTAAGAAGCATTTTTCGTACTAGATCGTCCGCAATATATAAGGTTCTTGAATTCAGTAATAGCGTACAAAAGCTGCAACCAAAAGTTTTTAACAAAGCCGTCACTGCGCGTACGTACCAAGGCAGCTCGAGGGATGCCTCCCTCAATCTGCAGTACAGGCAGCGTGATGTTCTCGTAAACTAGAATGTCAATCCGCCATCCTGCAGAACTGTCGCCTTTGTCTGCAGCGGCGCTGTCCTCCCGGACGCATGCGTCGCTCATCACGAAATGAACTTTCGAGTCGTCGACCATCGTTTGCAAGTCAGCTATGCACGAGCCTTTGAGGCGAATTCCTGGCAGAGAAGCAAATGAAGTCAGGATCTACTCAAATTTGGTTGTACAAACTACTGCCTTGGTTAGAGGGAGAGTTTGGAACTTACTCTCCATGACCAACTGATGTCTGGAGTCGGAAACCAAGTTCTGGACTCTTTCTTTTTTAAACAAAAAATTAAATTTATCGTGGAACGAGATAGCATGCACTTTTCATGGGCAAAGTATTAAGGATAGATTCCATAATTCTAAATATATTATATTATAAAATATATAAACATATTATATATAATATATATTATCGACTCCTAACATTTTGTCTACTGGCAGTAACTTTCGTTACCCGGCCATTAATAAGCAAATATAACTGACAAAGAGGCAGCGAGGGGTTGAAAAAATACCTGGACAGGTTAGAAGAAAGTGGTGAAATTCCACGCACAATAAGTGTTGAATTTCAACGCCAGACAAGTCTTCAATTACGACGCATAATAACTGTTGAAATACGACGCATAAAATAAGTATATTAAAATTGTTCTGACTAATTTTAATATACTTACCGTCGTCGATGAGTTCTCCTCCAGCATCACGCAGCACATGAGCGTCGCCGCGCCAGGGCAACAGCGCGAGATATTCGACGCCGTCTCCCAGCCCGCTGACGCAAGCCAAACACGCAAGTTTGGAATTATTAATGCTGAATATATCGTTATTAATAACGTTGAACATTTCGTCATTATTAACGGTGAACATTCCGTTGTTATTAACGGTGAACATTTCGTTATTTTTAACGGTGAACATTTCGTTATTATTAATGGTGAATATTCCTTTATTAATAATAGTGGACATTTCGTTTTTATTATTAAAGCTGAACATTTCGCTATTATTAATAGTGAACATTTCGTTATTATTAATGGTGAACATTTCGTTATTATTAATGGTGAACATTTCGTTATTATTAATGGTGAACATTTTGTTATTATTAATGGTGAACATTCCGTTATTATTAATGGTGAAGAATATTATTAATGCTGAACATCTCGTTATTATTAATAGTGAACATTTCGTCATTATTATTAATGGTGAACATTTCATTATTATTTATGAAAAACATATGCATGCATAATGCAAGCGACATCAAAATCTAGTTCAAATTTTTTCTGTCCTTCTGAATATGCACCAATTTTGTCATCAAGTTTGCAATAAATGAACAAATAATTTAGAATAAAAATTATTCCATTGGCATTCATAATACGCAAGCGATAAATCTTATGTCCAGCTAAGACATAGATCTTTATATCGCCTCTTTTTCGCCTTTTCAATTTCTAAAACAAGATCATCATCCTAATTAGTCGAAGTTCAAATCGTACAGACACGGTTCTTGTTTTGATGCAGACAAATTGAAGATTTTAGGCATGGAATTTTTTTATCATTTCGCTCTAGATAGGTGAAGCATCCATGGCATTTTATACCAGACAGCAGCTGCACGTTATTAGAATACAGGTGTCAATTTATATTGACAGTTTCAAGCGGTTAAATCAAAACTCATAAGGCAGAATTTTCTCCGAAGTCAAAATTCCGCTTTGCTAAATTTCATCTTGAAATAAATGGTTCAAATGGCATTAATTACTCCGTCTCAGTTTTAATCAACATGCGGCTATAACAAAAAAAAATGGTATAAATAAACGAATTATTTATATAAAACTGGTACGGAACTGTCATAACTAATGCTCTGGACATCAGCGTGTTGCTGGGTGTCGTTCATCAAAAAGTAATAATAGCGAATAAAAACGAGATGGTCCAGCATGACAACGGAGGGCTTCAACAGCGCGCTCCACACATTCATCTAAAAATATAATGAATTACTCGTTTCCCTCACAGAAGAGCTGAGGGCGATGTAGCGCGAGAATATGGTAATAGGCACGACATTCTTGCTCCCCATTTGTCACCAGGCGTCACCGAGAAGAATATAAGAATATGCTGGTGCTGAAGGTAATTTATTTCTTCGCATGAAGGATAGTCATTAACTGGACGACCGAGATGCGAAAAAACTGCATTACATCTTTTGTATGAACTTGTCCATCAACCCACTCGGAAATAGGCGGATTCACAGCTTGAAGCTCGCTCTTCACGACACAAGTTTTATTTTTATATTTGGACCCTGAGAAGCCTAACAAAAGATATGTTGAAAAGAACGTAGCGATATAAAGACGACAACAGTGCTAGTTATATGACAGTCGAGATTTATTTAACATTTTTTCAATTTTATTTTCTCTTCATGAATTTAGAGCCTTGTCTCTCAAAAAAATACAAATTGAGGCAAGCCTTACTTCCATGTAAACAATTTACTAATATCGTTTGGTCAAAATAGCTCTGGATTAATATAAATCCATTCTTCTCCAACTCATGCCCTAACTCTCGACATCCTTAAAAGAAAGTTGCTCAATCCTTTGAATTTTACTTGGAATAGTTAAGAGAATTCGTGGGAGAGTTTACTGAAAAGTCCCTTGCTCTTCTAAACCCCACAAATTTTTTAATCGTATTCTGAAAACTTCACCTTAAGGATTATTGAGAGGAAAATCAGACCATAATACAAGCAAAATAAATTAGGCGATGTACTCACCGTAGATGTGCTACATTGAGAGTAAAATCAGACCATAATACGAGCAAAATAAATTAAGCGATGTACTCACCGTAGATGTGCAACTTTGTGAGTAAAATCAGACCATAATACAAGCGCAATAAATTAAAACGATGTACTCACCGTAGATGTGCAACTTTGTGAGTAAAATCAGACCATAATACAAGCAAAATAAAACGATGTACTCACCGTAGATGTGCTACTTTGTGCCAGCCACCATCGAGTCGCTTCACCTCACGCCATCTCAAGAAGCGTTTTCCTGTGAACAGCGTAGGGCTGCATTATCTGGACAACAGTTTAAAATTGAAAATGCTTATTTTATCATTGAATGAAAATTTGATCGCAGATGGTCCATCGATTTAAAGTAAAAGGAAAACGCCATTTACCATAGATTTCTGAACAAAAACATAGTGCTCGCCACCTCAAGTAACACGCGGAATAGTCGCCGATGAGTCGAAGATACTAAAATTAGAACCATCGAGAAATGAAAGTTTTAAACCTTAAATCTTATCAAAAAAAATACTTTCGCGTAAGAAAATCCCAGAATTTAGACCAATATTCGTCAATGATTCATGCTTAAACAAACACAAATTGCAAATTTTCCCTAGACTTTTGAATGCTTTCAGCCAATTTTCATACAATAGGTCAAAATGGAAGTCTTCCTCTAAGATAGATAAATTCAGACTCTCACAAAATGCCATTCAGGCTTCAAAGACAGACATTCCCCAAGTAAAGTGATCACTGAATTCAAATTCAAATATGTCGATCGTCCTGGCCGAGCATCATGGAAAGTCCGAGAGCAGCAATTTGATTCTTTTTATGCACCGATCTGATCCTCCTTCCTGTTCTCCAAGGCCTCTTGGAGATCTGAGAAATCTTTCTTTAAGACAACGAGGTCCGCTGGAGTCGAAATGTTCGGCGCAGTGAAGGCCGAGTCTGCGCGCTGGAATCTGACCCTCCCTGTGAACGCCGCTTGGCCGTTCACAGTCAACGGGGAGTGGAGGCCTTGCCGTAGCTAATATGAAAATGAAAAAAAAATATTTGATTACTAATGTAAACTGTAATAAATCTATTGGCAGCCACTATAACATGAATTCTGTTTCAGTTTAGTTCTTATCGTCCAGATAATAATTAGGTACAATTTTAGCGAAAATCTAAAAAAATTGCAAAGCAAAAAATTTAGAGAAAATTTTTGGAATAGAACAGCAACTGACCGCGTTCTTGGCAATGTCTTCAAGGCTGTAGTTTGAAAACAAGCCATCTTCAGTGTTGATAACTGGAGCGTAAATTGCGGGACCTGTTGGATGTAATTACTTTTAAAGAATCTGATGCATTGTAAATTCTACAGGCAGTTAGAGTTTGATTCTACCCAAGTTTTATTCCATTTTTCATGCAATATTTGAATGTGTATATATGCTTCTACTAAAAAACATTCTACTAGGAAAATATTCGAATAATTTGTTTAGTTCCGACAACTTGCGCATGAGAATTGACCCATTAACAGTTATAATTATTTTAGTGACGTAAGAAATAAGCAAAATAATAAAATTAGGCTACAATATATTGAAGTTGGCCAAGCTTCTCATCGATTATTCTCACTTGTGAAAGATTGGACGAAGAAATCTGAAGCGATGCTCTGGCGATCCGATTTAGTAAAAAGATTTTTACGTTTGATGGCATATCCGTTCACAGACCCGGCGCTAATGAATTGAATCCCATTTATTAGAAACACTCGAATCAAGTTCATAGAGGAGAGGATTGATTAACTCAAATATCAACCTTCAGAAATGGGAATTGCTCAAATACTGAAATTTTCAAAAGGTCCAAGTAAGAGACATTTATATTCTCATCAAATGAGAACTGTAAAGTTACAAAAATTTTTGAACAATATCTAAGTTTAACAGATTTGAATGCAGTTATTATGCGCTTGAATTCAATACCAACCTGATGCTGCGCGCTGTCACGTTGCCAATAACAGTCGTAACGCCCTGTATGTGCCCGCCTGACGATCTCCGGACCAAGTTCATCGATTCATTTCGGATCGAAATTCCATTGACGACGCCACTGCGCGATGCGTGCGTGATATCATACATTAAACAGGATTTATATATTGTACGGAAAACACGATAGAGGGATACTTCATGCACTCATAGGATACTCAAGGAACACATTAAGAAATCATGGGATAATTTTAAATCAATGTACATGACTGACGTTCAATAATAATCTTAGAATATTTCCAGTACAAAATTAAAGCGGTGTTCATTTAGAAGTCACGTTTGTTCAACTCCATTTATAGTGGACTCCTCAATTGTATCCAAGTAAACACGAATATTGTTGCAATAATCGTCAGTGCGTCACGAAACATCTTGTACCTCCCAAGAGCTTGACAATTTCAGCACGAATATCGTTCCTTTTTATTAACACGTCAGGAAACATCTACTCACTAACTAGAGCTCAACTAAAATATTCATGGTCAATATGGACGCACTCGAGCAAAGGCATTTGTATTTGGTGCGATGCCACGACGCTGCCATCGAATGTTTTCGGGCTGACAACCTGGCACTGGGTTTTGACCGCGCAGAATGTCTTGGTTTCCACTCCGTTGACGCGTCCATGCAGAGACATAACTAGTGTACAACGAGAAGGAAATTTGGCTTATTCTGAGAACTGTAGGCATTTAAATGTTTAATCATTGCGATTAAATTATAAAATGAATAACTTCTTGGCTTCCACTCCGTTGACGCGTCCATGCAGAGACATGACTAGTGTATAACGGGAAGGAAATTTGGCTTATTTTGAGAACTGAAGGCATTTAAATGTTCAATCAATGCAAATAAATTATAAAATAAATAACTGAGGTTTGATGACTGAAGTAAGAGCGTTGCAGCCAGCTCTCGTGAGAAGTGAATACTTTCGTAACAAGTAAATATTTCCGCAAGTTCTCGTGTGAAAAGTTTATAAATAGAAAGGCATGTTAATTTTATGAAATACAAACTACTGATGTTTCAGACGAGTCAAATTTTCGTATAGAAATTATGCTTCATTTTTTAGTTCAAATAGAAAAACATAATAATTTTATGAAATACAAGCTACTGATGTTCTATACGAGTCAAATTTTTGCATAGAAATTATACATCATTTTAGACATCACTATTGCACTAAATACTAAGCATACATGTAACGTTTGCCGACTCGAGTGTGTGTTCCTCATAGATGACCTGGTCTGCTGATTTCAGCAGCACGGCTCCCAGCTCCAAGCTAGGGACTCCTTGGAAAATTTCGGTCTGTGCAAATAAATTTCAAAATAAATTCGTGCTGAGAAAAATAGTTACATTGATATATATGAATATAGAATGCCTTTATTCATGATTTCCGCATTTCGATGGTGAAGAAGTAGCCCATGCCAGAGACGAAATTGTCTAATTGTTCTAAATATGAATATAAAGAAATTTTTTGATGCACAAAAGTTTACTCGAATATTTTTGATGATGGCATCGTCGGTAGTCAATTCTTCGAAACTCCAGTTTGAAGAAATATCCAACTCGGAGCATCGTTTGCTGAGCCGAGGTTCGAAGAGGCCTTCGAGAGGCCGACTGTTGATCTGAAATCAGTAATTGGGGGTAACAATAATTGAGAAACAAATTCAATAGTTTATGAACAGAAAAAGACTATACAATTAAGGAGCGATTTCAGGTTATTAAATTAGTCTTGAAATATTTCAAAGCGAGATGGATTTTAGAGATAGAAATATTTAAAGGCCCAAAAATGACTCAGAACGCCACAGTACCGAACACAGTCTCACCTGCTCGGTAAACGTGCCAAGTGGGCTGGTCAGGCTGTTGAATGTGAAGTCTCCCGTGATGGTTACGTTGTCATCAACCCTCCAAAAATCTGCCATAATATCTCCTGATATATCGTGTTTCCCGGTTGATATTTTTTGCGCAGTAACGAGTTCATGGAAGATGACGTCACCTGTCAATCAAAAAAAGTAAGTCCTATATACTCAACTGACAAATATGTGATGGACAATCTTAATAATGTCAAACTCGAAAATAAATCGCCATTCACCGTCTATAGTTGAATGCTTAAAACAAATAAGGATCTTTTGTCAATTAACTTTTCTATGCTCAAAAATAATGCAATTAAAGAACATTCTGCCATTGTGCTAAAACGAGAGAACAGATGTAAAATTATATTGCACCTGTTTTCAACCGAATTTTTCACCCACCAAGAACAGTAACATTATTGATGTTATTTGCGTCGCAAAGTTTATTAACTTTAACTGAATTGACGGAGTCTGTGACGTCAAGTAAAGACTTGACGGGACTGAAGAAAAATTTATGGCCGGTCACGACGATATTCGGCTCAAAAGTGGAAACTAAATCCTCCGGAATGGACAGACCCTGAACAGAGCCTTTCACGCGCAGGTTATTGCGAGTAATGATTTCATCTGAAAAAAATCGGAAGCTCAGAATGCTTTCAGTAATCCCGCACAGTAATACTAGAAAACCAGTTATATTAATAGTGAGTAAAGTATAACGGTTTCAATAAAAGTGTACTTTATAAGTGTAGCAACATCCCTTTTATCCATTACCTGAAAATAATCCAATCCTATTTTAATCATTAAATAATATAATAATCATTACTTAATCCTATTAATCATTGATTAAACCTACTAATCGTTAATCCTATTTTATTTAATATATAATTCCCTATTTAAAGTAATCAAATAGTTTACCGAACTCCACCCGATCGTTGAACACGAAGGGTGCGTTGATTTTAACCGTACGGTCCAAGAGTTCATGAAGCAAGCCTTCAACCGACGAACGAACTTGATTGGCATTCAGCTTGTTTACGTAGAGCGCCGCGGCCGTGAAATTCTGGTCGGCGTTCGCTCGTAGCCAATAGCCGGGCACTCTAACGCCATCGATCAAGCCTGAAAAACCGACCTCGAATTTCTCTCCAGACTGAATAATAATAGGTTCAAAATTTCAAATAATGCATTTCCATAAATCACAAACTAAAAAGAGCATGAAAGCAAATAAAATGTCAAGTAAATTCACCTTAATTAAGTACTATTAACAAATTAGGTTCAGCTCAAAGCATAACTGCTAGTGCTATCAAATGTATTATATTATTTGAAAAATAAATTTAAACATTCCAAGGCAAATGAAACCATAAAATTTGAAGCAAAATTTCAAAAGCTTTGTCATGAATTAACATCCTGAATGCTGAATGAATTAATTTTTTTTAAGATGACGGAAAGTAATAATTCAGGTATTTCGAGTTAGCAAGAAACTAATAGCATTAATTTTCTAACCTTTCACGGACAATTTTTTCGCTGTTACGTCGCCGTTTATGCGTAGATTTCCAATTACGGTGCCACCACCGGCAAGTTTCAGGGAATTTTCTGCTAGCCTGGTAAAGCAATTAAAATTATTTATTTAATCCATTCACCAAAATAGATTTGGCGCTCGAAACTACAAATCCAAGTATGATCATGCCGAATAATATGCAAAATGTAATAAAAATTCATTTGAAACTCATCTTTCATGTTCAAATAAAATCTGAAAATTTTCCAATTAATCTTTCATCAACTGATGGTAACTTTACTCGCCAGTCTTGGTATATAAAAAACATTAACAAAATTAGAAAGGCCATAGAAAAGAGGTTCGCCTTTCAGGTTCAGAAAAACAGTTCACCACGTTGTGGGCGCGTAGAGTTATGCCCCACTGCCCATTTAAACAGGGCAGGAGCATGGGGGTTACGGTCTACGTTACCTCCGGAGCCCGGTGGCGGGTGGCCTACCCATCGGACGATGGACGACGAAGGCGGTGCATCAGCATGACCTTCGTCTAGGAAGCCCTTAACTCGACATAAGGAGCCCTTCTCTCACCAGGTCAGGTTGTAAGCGAGGGAAGAGCCTCGTGTCTCAGGTAGGCTGGCGAAGCCGCGGGTGCCAACATTGGCCCGTGACTCCAGTGAGTGGAAAAACTTTGAGCCCGTTATCCTTTGTACTCCTGAATTTCCTAAAAATGTATAATGAAAAAGGACATTTTTTGTTATTTCAGTTACAGATCTTATTAGTGATTACGAAGCGTTGTGTACGTCACCTTGTCGCATTTTTACAGCTATTTTAATTTATATGTATTTTTCAGGAACCTTGAGCATCAATCGAAATCCAACATTTCCCTCATCATCATGAAATCTATATGAAGCCCAATTCTATTTTACATTATTCATGCAAAAAATGTACGAGGCTTCACGTTCAAGTCTCATTTGAACAAAGTTTACAATTCGAAAGTGATGAAGCTTTACCGACCGCTTTTCCTCACGGAGTTGCGAATGAGGTAGTCGAGGTCAATTGAATTCACGGTAGGTGACTTCAGACTAGCAATTACAGTGCGGTTGGGAAGGACCAGGCCGGCAGCGAATGTGTTTCGACCTGAAGTTAAAGTAAAAAATTGTGGACAACACTACGATACTTCGTTGGATAAAGTATAAGCAAATGCATATTGAAAAAAAAGAATATCTGAAAAGTGCATTTCTTTGGCCTTTACGGTAGATTTGAGAGAATATTTTCATTAATTCGCAATTCCACTATACCAGTTAGTGTTGCATTTTCAGTCCTCAGCAAAGCGTCAGCTAAGTTTACTCCAGCCACGACTACAGAGCTGGCCGCCACCCTGAGGAAATAAAAATATTCCCCTAAAACTAGACTTTCGACATAGAATAATTTCAAAGAATGACACGTACATGTCAATGGTATGGGTGAGCAGGCTACCGTTCAGAACAATAACTCCTGCCGCAGAATTCGGCAACCCTGATGTTATCGTTCTGAAATGCCACTTGCCCATCCATTCTACTCTATCGTGCACCTTCGAGCTACACTGAGCGACATGACTTCTTAGAGCAGTTTTAATGTATTTAACTACATATTATTCAACTCTGATCAAAAGCTGTGAACAACAAACTCACATTGGTGCCTCTATGCGAGAGAAGGAGACTCTGAGCTCGAAAGTTTGGTCTTCATTCACCTTCGCCAAACGTTGTTGCTCTTTGCTAAAATCGATACCGTTCAATAAAGTTGTCGTTATACTTGATCCACTGTTTATTCCGCCCTGAAAACACACGAACTAGTAAGATCTCTTAGCCCAGCAGCCACAAATGTTCATATGTTGTCCTCATCAAAATTTAAATTGCAATTGCATTATTTTTAAAAAGCCTTCATTTATAATACTCACCGACAACACCACGGCGTCAACGAGTGTGTGGTCACGCGTAAGTGTGAGCAAGTCCCGCGTAGGAACACCGTTGATAAATCCCGCCCGCAAATCCCCTAGAACCTGTATGATGAATAACGAAAATAAACTACACACCCAATGTTTTTGGATGCGGGATAAATGCAAAGAATTCAACTAAACTCGAGCACCAGCTACGAATAGGATGCAAATAAAATTCATCCAACTCCTGAAAAATTTCCATGAAACTAATAGGGAGCTTAATTATTTTTGATTATTTCGGCTCCGTGCCACTCAGAGTGCTAGCGCAGTCGTTTTTTCGCACCTCCAATTATAATGGAACAAATTTTCCTCATCAACTATTAAATAAAGAAGGGGAAAAATTCCGCTTCTACAGTGTCTCAAATGGTTATTAGGCTGAAATTTGGCAACTGTAGAATAATATTGCCAAAATGGCAAGAACATCGCAAACTGCCCCGAGATATTCAATAGCAAACCCAATATAAATGATAAATAAATAAAAACAAAGCAACCTAACCTCTTTTCTTTCTCTACCTCAATCTGTTTTCATATAAATTAAGCCTAATATTCATCCACTATTATGAATGAAGGGCTTGAGAATATTTCTTTTAAATTTTAGTCGAGGGAATATCACCTGTCAGTGGTAATTTATTATTTCCCTTAAACAGCTTATTATGGGGATATCAATGAATCGAGTTTCAAGTCTCATGCGCACAATATTTTAGGTTTTCTGAACGCCAGACGTCAGATGAAACGTACGCTCGTACTTCACAATGAAATGTTACTTTCAATAGTCGCATGTTCATTCTCTGAAGTTTCAATATTCTAGTCAGTGATCTCATTCATTTCTCACCTCCGAGTCACCGGCTAACAACAAGTTGAACGGAAGAGTTGATGAATTGAGCGGGATTATTTTCCTGGAGAGATCTCTCAAATCCACGCCGTTGAAGTTGCTAACAAACAGAGCAGACTGGAATTCAACTCTGCTAATTCTAGACGAGTGCTTTCCTGCGTGAACAAAATTGATTAGTACATTCCCTCACTCACATAGGCATAGTTGGGCAGAAGCACTTCTTTAATGTACATTTCTTTGAAGACCAGAGAGTTTTTCTTATCAACAATAATTTCACGATCTAACTTGGCCCAATGGATGGATTAAGACGAAAGAATAATCCAAAATAAAGTATATGTCAAAATCTACCAAAGAAGTCCTTTTGCTCGACGTCTGAAGGCGTCATGGATTCCAGAAGTCTGTTCAGTTCGCCGAGGTCCTGCCCTGCCACTTTCCCGTGCACGATGGAGCCGCCGCCTACACTGCCAGTCAGGCGGGTAGTCAAAGAACGTTCTAGTCTCCGTATGGACTCGGATACATTAGCGATCTCGGCTTCCAATTTCTTTATTCTTTCTTGTGAGTCTGTCCCATTGACGAGTAAATTTGCTGATGAATGGATTCTAATATTTATATCAATGCCGTTTTCACGATTTAGACTTCTTGTTTCCGACGCTTTTAGTGACGCAAGTTCTGTTTCAAGTTCGCGCGCTCTATTTCTGAGCAATTCGAGTTCTCGAGATCGCTTGTCTTCGGATGACAATGGCGGTGCAGTCGTTGTCGAAAGGCGATGAGAAAGAATTGCTTGCTCACGAGCTAAATCTTGCGATATCTTGTACAACTTTTCTTCTTGTGCCATCAAATTGAACGCGAGACCGTGTAGCAGATTGTGCAAAGAAGGGTGAACGTTCGAATGCAGTTTGAAAAAAGTGACGGTAAGCTTTAATCTTTCTATCAAACGTGTAACTTCATTTTTCCAGCCATTTGCATCAATTCCATGATTTACTTCATTTAATTTTGTTAATAGATCATCATCATAGGTACGAGTTGATGAATTCGAGTAGACGATAGGGTATCCGTGAGGTATGACTTGGGCTCTAAACTTGGCTATTTCCTCCCTGACCTCGTCTACCGCTGCCTGCTTGTTGGCGAGTTTGGCTCTAAGCTGCAGAGCAGTCGCCCGTACATCGTCAGGATCTAGCGTCGTTGTAGTCACTGGTGCGACAGTTGAGGCAGTGACCGGGCGGATTTCTTCTTCGAAAACGTCACTCAAGTGAAGTCGGTGGAAAATTTTAGCCCCTGTTACCGTTTGATTTTTATTCAGCAACATGACGTCTAATGAACCATCGTTGGTGACCTGTTGATGAGAGTTATTTTCGGTTTCATGAACGAATTAAGTATCACGAGCTCAATTAGCAAATTATTCATATGTATATATACAGTAAATATAAGGCTAATGGTGACCGTAGAATATCAACATTTAGGCTGAAATTTACTTCAACTTCTAGTTTATTTCAGGGCAAAATTCAACACCGATAGTTGAAAATAAAAAGTTCACTGGGGCACTCCACGTCTATTTTTACCTTTAAATCGTTTAGCTGTCCAGTAACCTGCAATTTTTTTGCACGCAGTTCGCTGAAATGTGCCGCTTCTAGATGATGCACTAACCCGTTACGGTTTATAAAAAGATCTTCAGTCGAGACGTTGTTGAGTAAACGACTAATATTTACCGTATGGGCTTTCATTCCATCTAAAATAAACCGACCTTGGAAGAAAATAACAGCAATGATTAGTAGTTACCAATTATTGTTTTTGAAATGAATGACATTTAACCACAACTTTCGTTTGGTAGTATCTATGGTACCAACAATTAACACTCAGCCTGTGTGGTCAACAAATTGCAGAGTATCGTTATTGAAAATAGTAATGCAGCAACTTTAATCTATAAGATTTCTATACAATTTTGAACTATTTCTTCGTGAAGCTTGATACAAAAAGTAAGAAATTTCGAGGGTTGTCCATTGCGCGAGGAAAGATAGGAACCCTCTTACGTCGTTCGATCATTACTTGTATAAATATGCACGTTATTGGAATAGTTTGGCAGAAGTAGCTCCTCTATATAATTGTTTGATTGAAAACAGACTTACCGGAAATAATTTGAGGTTTTTGCGACCGTTTCAAGAGAACATCATTGCTGAACTCCGCCAAGTCGACACCGGTTAAAGTTTTGGTCTTCAAGTTCTTGTTGCTGTAGACGCTCTTCGCAACAAAAACCGAGCCTGAAAATAAATGTCGATTCAATTTAGTATCATTTTATAGAATATAATATCGTTATGGTTCCTGATCAGATACAACAAACTTTTGTAGCCACTCGTCCCAAAATTTAAGCCAATCCACCGGCAAATCAAATAATTAGTAATTTGGAACAAATTAATTTATGAAATTGAAATCAAAATAACTGATCACCATTAATATTGAAGTCGTTATGCCTCGACACGGAGGTCTCAAGTAAGCGTCTCATGTCAACACCGTTGATGTTTCCAGCGTTGAGGTTGTTGATGTATCCGACTTTACAGTGGAAATTTCCTGATAGATAAAATAAGAAAATAGCATCAATGAGGCCTAGAATAGATTGAAGAAGATGGACTTTGAGAGCCCAAAAATCTTCTGAAACTACTTTTGATTATTATCCATGATTTAGGACTGCCAGTAATATTTTTGATTATCATTATTTGCAAACTGATGAGAAATGTATAAAAATTTGCAAATGGTTTTTTCATGCTTGAAGAAATAATTAAAATCAGCAAGTGTTATTGTTACTCAATTTCATGACCAGAAATTAAATCCGGTCAGAGTTTTTGGGAGTCTCAGAAATAATAAAGTAGGTACGCCATTTTGAGCGTACTATTGCAACATTCAAGTTTCATAAGCTTACAATATTCGTTCTTCATATATAAATAAAAAAAGTCTCGAATAATGACAGGGGGAAACTTACAAGAATAAATTAACGTAATGATTCCTTGGCAAGATTTAAATGTGAACACCCAAAGACGAAAACTCACCAGTGATGTTCTGATCAGAATTCTTCGTCAAATACTCGGAAAAATCGTGTCCATTCAAAGTTCCTGCAAGTGTGATGTGGTCAACTTTCAACGTATCCAGGAAAGTTACACGGGCTGCGATGTCGTGATTGCCGCGCAATGTGATGTAATTTTCAAAAGGAACGCCATTCATGCTTTTCAATCGAACTTCATTCTGTTGAATGTAGTTAATTGCATTGAATTTAGCCTTTGGGACCAAGGGTCATTAATGCGGCTGAAAATTAATCAATAGGAGGCATTTATGAACTCGTTTTACGCATTATTAAAGTTTCGTCAAGCTCAAAGCCTGTACCTTCGGCGCCAAATCCTTCTTCCTATATTCTGATAATTAAAATAAATGAGCACCGCGTGATTTGTAAAAAAGAATATTGTGAGAATAAATCAGGTAATTTTTCGATGGCGAATTTGGAGGAACGGAAATGGCGTCAAAAGGGAGCGATCGAAAAAATACAGTCACAAATTACCTGGAAAGCAATTTTATCAAAGCGCATTGAAAGAATTCGGATTGGTTGCGTTGCCTTGATCGGAATCAACGATGTCTCATCAGGAACCGGAAAGCCGTTGACTGTACCGTTAACACGTAGCTTTGAGACGGATCCTCGGCCAACGACAGAAACTGACTTCACACGAAGGTTTCCTGAAATTGACGACAGACATTATTGCATTTATTTTGCTTCATAGGTAGGAAAATGAAAAATTGTGTGCACAAATAACTTTACCAGGAATGGAATAGATGAATGAAGGAAATATTTTTTTTTATTGTGTATTATTAAGTGAGTATTTCGTTCAAATATTTCATGCCTTCTCTCTCCAACTTATAACTAATTTTCAAGTTCAATGCACTAGCTTCACAAGTAAATTTAGCCAAACAAAACGCCTTGCTAAAAAAAATACTTTTGGTACCAGTCAGAACTGATCTCATCTACTTCTTGACGTCATTACTAAGCTGGATATGAAAGAAGAAATTGAATGCTGAAAGTCGAATAAGAAGAAATTTAAGAAATTGAATATTGAAGATGGAATAAAAATGATTTGCTGAAAATGAGAGAAGAAATTTATTGCTGGATATGAAAATAGTAAATGAATACTGAAAATCAAAGAAAAAATGGAATACTGAAAATCGAAGAAAAATTGGAATGCTAAAAATAAAAGAAGACTATGAATGTTTCAAAACTTCCCACCAACTCACTGGGCCAATCGTCGGGAGTGTCGACGCTGACCACACGTCTGGCCGCAAGACTCAGTCCCGCAAGTTTTGCGAGCAAAGAATCCGCTTTCTCAAGAAAATCTTCCGCGGTCGTCGGAAGCTCTCGAGGTGGAGAAGAAACCTTGGGTATCGATCCAATACGTCAAGTGTGAGGCAAAAAGTATAGCGGGACGCTAATAAACGAAATGTACTAAGATGGACCACAGTTAAGACATACAGATCCAAATGATGAATAAATAATAAAAAAGGCTAGGGGACGCTAATAAACGAAATGTACTAAGCTGGACCCCTATTAAGTCATATAGATCCAAATGATGATTTAATTTTTCTCATTTTTGTAGATGACAAATGTAGATTAAGGGTATAAATAACGAAGCTTATCCTGTGTGGTTAAATAACTTAAATCTTACGAAATTTAACGGATTCAATCAGCAGAGATGAGTAGAGAATCAACATGTACATTAGACTGCATTCAACAAATATTCCTTGGTCGTATTTCAATACTTAACAATATACAAGGGTAGATAATTCTTTTAATATCAACCTTCACGGCACTCATGTTGTGGATCACAAGACTATTCTTGAATTTAATATGCGATGAGAAGGTAGCGGGCTGGTCAGTTTTTGGCGCCTTGTCAACCAAGGCTTTCACAGAAGCAGCGATGTCAGCGGTCTGCATGAACTGATTAGCTGAAGCCGATAACGCGAAGTAGAGGTCCTGGGTAAAAATTTAAACATTTAAGCGAACAATATAGGGAATTATGCAAAATTTTTACCCTATGGCGGCAGATGCGTAAGCTGTCGGCTATGCTTTTCGTACATGAATGACTGGTAACCATAGATCACAAGCAGAAATGGATATCAAAATAAATTACACTAGTCATTGAATCCCTACTCACACTGAAGTCGCAGTCAGTGGTAGTATTAATGAATCAAAACTTGCATGTCACGAATAAATGAAGACTCGGAATGCTTGGAATAAATGGGGATTTGTTTCTTTCATTTGAAATATTTTAAATGATACGAATAAATGAAGACTAGTAACGTTACGCGTTGAGACCCGGAATGTTGCGAATGAAATAAGACTTAAAATGTTGCGGAACCTCACCTTGAATGGAGATCTGTGTACAAACTCCGGTCGATAAATGGTTGTCTCAATCCTTGAAGTGTCATTCGCGGCTGTATGGGCAACTGTTGAATAACGAACTTAAGATTAGTTTGAAGTACATTAAATGATAATGGTTTTAGATGCCCTAGATATGCCTTCTTGATTAGATATCGCTCCACTTCAAAGAGCCTGGATAAAATACTAAAAAACAATCATATCCATACGAGCACCCATAGTTCGTTACCTTAGCTGCTAACTTTCGATCGCATTCCTACATATTACTAGCAAATAAATGACCAAATGTAACATTTTAATAATATTCAAATCATTTTCTATCCGTGTTTGCAGGTTCTTATCATGTACACGCGCAATGTAATTCTAAACGCTAGTTCTGCATGCGACTGGAGCTTTATTATGTCGAAAAAGGATTTGAAATTTCAATTTAATCAAATTCCTCTTTAAAAACTTATTCTAAACAATAACTAAGACTAAGATTTCCCCTCGATTCCCTTAAACCAGACGCAACGAAAACTGCTTCGTAGATTAATAAAAATAACCATTCTATGTTGAATATTTTCTCATCTTCACACGCGGTCTATCTTCAAATTTTTCGCACCTACAAAGCACGGCGAAGGCTGATGTTTTATAGCAGAAAAGGAAGGACTGCTGGCGGCTTGGACGCTGATGGCGCTGAGTCCTTGGCGCAGACCACCGGGAGATGCGGGCACGAACCTCCAGCCGTCTTGCTGGTAAAACCTCAGCGCCGCGTCCCTGCTTGTCAGCGCTAGGAGAACTCCGCCCGATGCCTGCAGAGCCAACAGAAGCCGTGTATTCATATCCGAAGCCTTGCATTCATTTTCAAAACCATGCATTCATTTTCAAAACCATGCATTCATTTTCAAAATCATACATTCAGTTGCCACGCATTCAGTTTGACGCCACGCATTCAGTTTGAAGACAAGTAATTCAGTTCGAAGCCGTGCATTCAGTTCGAAGCAAGTATTCAGTTTGAAGACAAGTATTCAGTTTGAAGACAAGTATTCAGTTCGAAGACAAGTATTCAGTTTGAAGACAAGTATTCAGTTCGAAGACAAGTATTCAGTTTGAAGACAAGTATTCAGTTTGAAGACAAGTATTCAGTTTGAAGACAAGTATTCAGTTTGAAGACAAGTATTCAGTTCGAAGACAAGTATTCAGTTCGAAGACAAGTATTCAGTTCGAAGACAAGTATTCAGTTCGAAGACATGTATTCAGTTCGAAGACAAGTATTCAGTTCGAAGACAAGAATTCAGTTCCAAGCCATACATTCAGTTCGAAGGAACGCATTTAGATCGAAGGTAACTAATTTTATCAAAGAATTGGTTCTAATCATCAATTACACGGAATGTAAGCTGTTCCAGTTGCCAATAAATCGATCAGTCTTGTTCTGGTCTTATTTCAAGCTTTTGAGTGATTAAAATTAATCTTGATGAAGCCAAAAAAAAAAATCGATGACTCTTTGTTACCGATTTACACGGGCGATTGGGTAATTTCAGATTTCGAAATCTCGTCATGGAGCATTGCAGAGGATTTAAAAACACCATAGCTGCTCCCTATCAGTTCGACTCAACCATCCATCATCGTCCAGCAGCCGCGGCGATCAGGGGCCATACTTTTAAAACTCGCTAAGTGAACGTAAGTACTTACGCTCTATTTTCTTGTCTATGATTGGTGGATTTTGCTTGAAAGGCCGTCAATGATTGGCTGATGAACTTACGATCTCTCAACTTTTTTGAAAGTATAGGCCCTGGGCCTATACTTTCATAGCGGTAGCGGTATAGGCCCTGAGCCAATACTTTCATTAAAAAAGTTCGTATGTTCATCAGCCTATCATTGACAGCCTTTCAAGCAAAATCCACCAATCATAGACAAGAAAATAGAGCGTAAATCCACCAATCATAGACAAAGAAATAGAGCGTAATTGCTTACGTGTACTTATCGAGCTTTGAAAGTATAGGCCCAGGGCAGTAAAATTTGTAAGCTCGTACCTCCACAACGTGGATACCGGTGGGCGAGGGCACACTGAGGGCTTGGAATGGGAGGAACTTCGCGTTGTTGTACTTGAAGATGATCACCGTGTGGTTGTTCTGGCATGCAACTGTACGGAACAAGCTAGACCTTAAGAATAAATTTAAATTTAGTATAAATATATAAATTTATATTCATAATTGGGCACCAAGTTTTCAGTAATTCATAATAACAAACTTGGCTGCCAAATTAACGACTGTGGAGAGAATAATTCCACAGGATATACAGTTTCAAGTCCGTTTTAAATACCTACCAGAAAGGGCGTTTAACCGAAATTGCATCACTATTTTTTAATATAATCGTGCGTCTATATAAAAAAAAAATTTAATTCAACTGATCATTTTCAGCGTTACGACATTTACGACGTTTGCTCAGCTGTTTTTCAGTACCGGTAACAATAATTTTTAGTGCCATGAAATTAAGAAAGTTTCCCTAACTCACCTAGACAATCGAATGCAACAGCTAAGAACGTATCTTTTGCTACCGCCTCTCCAAGCGTGAAGACTTTAAGCGCCACGGCTGCTCCGGGAGTAGGGAGGCGCTGGAGAAGAACATAGCGCGCCAAGTCCAGCGAATAGCGGTACACCAGGCTAGGAAAACCTGCCAATTGAACAAACAATAATTAATTATTATAGTGTAAAGGATAACGCTTGAGACGTTGAGGAGAACCTGCTAATTCAACAAACAATTATCGTGTAAAGGATAACGCTTGAGACATTGATAGACAAAATTGTGGGAATATCTCTTAAATGTTTTCTTTAGAGCTTCATCTGTGTCGCTTCAGCTGGACAGAGCTTTTCATATTTAGGTGCGCTTCCCAAGCTACACATAGAATGTTTTCACTTATAAAAAAACTAGGCATGAACTTTGGATCAATAAATCAAAACTGCATTATACAAGATGTTGCAATTCACAATAAAAAAAAGAGCGCAAGGGGCCCGTAAATCCTGACTAAAACCAACCTTTTATGCAACTCTTTAAATCGTACCTACCCATCGCTGCTTCAAAGAGCAACTGCATACGCAATAAAAACAATAACGATCGAATTATATTAGACAAGTATCACTGTACCTAAAATTATGTTAGACCATTATCACGGTACTTAAAATTATGTTAGACAAGTATCACGGTACTTTTATGTTAGACAAGTATCGCGGTACTTTAAATTATGTTAGACAAGTATCACGGTACTTAAAATACAAATGCATTAAAGTTTCAGAAAAATTTAATCTTCCTCGAAATGTACATGCGACATGTGAAGTACAATTATTTAAAGTCAGGTTTGATTAACAATACTTCTAGTTAATTATATTTATATATACAGTCTGATTACTTATGACTTAATTACTTCTACTTAGAAGTATACTTAAGAAGTATTAAAAATACTTCCTGTTAATAGACTTATAGCCTATTTACTTTTGATATTCTGCTAAATTGGGGCCCAGTGAAAAAAATCCTGTTGCATTCTTTTCTTACCAAAAGAAATATAAAGATCTTGATTGTTCGAAAAAAGATATTAAGATATTCAGGGGAACACTTTCTAAATATTCAACTTTTCGAATAGAAAAGTTACGGTACATTTATTTCAACTAATTTTTTTCCCCACATACGGGAATAATTTTCACGGATCCAGCAAAATGGGTTCCTAAGCTCAAACGTAAATATGCAAAAATTATATGAGATTTGACCTTACCAGGTTTTCCTTCAGCAACCGCTAAGAAATGAAAGTTGTTGATGATAAAATGAGCAACTTCTTTGGGTGAATGAGCGGGCAACGTTTCAACCAAGTCAATATGCTGATCACTCCTCTCGTAGATCTGGATACTGTCTTCAAAATTTGCCACATTCGTGTTTTTGATCGCCCTGAACTGCTTGGAGCTCCTGAACTCTCCTTCCGTCAGGTTGGTGACATTTTCGCCGGCAAGCAATAGAAAATGCTTCCCATCGTGTTCCCTGAAACAATTAATGAGAAACCTTTTATACATTTTCGATCAATTGGGTGCCATGTTTTGAACCATCACTCGATGAATATTCAAATAAGTTACATATGACAGAGCCTTAATTTGTTATAAATCTGATAATATTACCTAGCTAACAAATACAGTACTTATCATTTGATTAAATATCAAAGTATTAAGTACTTAATACGACCAATGATTAGTCAATCCTAGTATACCAAAATGTTTTTAACTATCAAAGTATTAAGTACTTAATACGATCAATGATTAGTCAATCCTAGTACCAAAGTTTTTTTAACTATCAAAGTATTAAGTACTTAATACGATGATTAGTCAATCCTAGTACCAAAGTTTTTTTTAACTATCAAAGTACCGGTATTAAGTACTTAATACGACCAATGATAGGTCAATCCTAGTACCAAAATTTTACCACGCAATAGCCGAGGAAAAGTCGGTCCGGAAGACCGGTTCCGGCGAGGAGACTTTGAACTTGTCATGCAGAGGCCCACGGATGAGATGCCTCACGGAGACCTGGTGCAGCGCTGGGTGACCAGACGTGGACGCTGGCGGGGCACACGCGATGGTCACGGCTTGAGTGTTGTAAGGATGTGCACCAAGGAAACAATTTCCTGATCCTGGAAATCTGGCAGCTTCGAAGGTCTGAAATAAAATCTTTCTTTAAATAAACTATGAACACAGAAATTCAATTAAAGCACTAACGCGTTTTATAAAAAAAATTCATTCAAGTTGAGAGGTTAGAAAACTGAAAATCACTAAAATTTCCTTATGAGAGAAAAAATAATGTATAACTGGATGTTTTTAGAATCAAGTTGGTAGAAACTTGCTACCGATAGATCAAGTGCTACTCAATTTTGAGAATAAAAAGCAAGGCACAAATGAGCTCAGAATACGCAATTATAATCCAAACGCTAGGGAATACAAACGTTATTCCAATCTGAAATAGATTTCATTTAAACCTTATTTTCAGCCGTAAAATTTGCTCCAGTTTACCTTAAGGCTTGGCATTTGCAGAACATTAACGACTATCTCTGCATTTATTTCCATGGCGACGAGAAGTTCATCATTAAATGCAAGCCTCAGCGGCAGAGCAGCTAGTGCCTTTCCAGCGAAATTTCCTATGGGGATAAATCGCTCGGCAATAGCAAGACCTGTTGATGAGAGGATTGTAATTTGCATTAAATCATTCATAGCATTTTATTTTATGGGGAAAACTCGTCCTCCATGTATTAACATTTTTCATAGAAAATATCCTGACGGCCGGATGGCACTAAACTAATTAGCAACTTTCTCGCATATTAGAAAAAATCGGTACAAATTCATTTATTCCGATTCGATAATCCCATATATAATAATGAACAGGGGGAAAACGAAGGAAAAGCATTAGAAAATTTACATTATTGGTCAAACATTTTCGTCTCCCTTAGTCGATAGCATTCACCGTAAGATGACGTTGCCGAAAAGTTCACTAATTCGACCAGAAAATAACTTCTATTCTTAATGCATATCGTCACTTTAATTAAAAGGCATTAAAATATGTGGACTTAGGGGCTTTAGGGTCACAGAATCAGTCGCTTCTCACCAGCATCGTCTCGTAGCGAAAGGAACTGTGGAGCTAATTTGCGCTGCTCTCGAATTAATGGCAGCTCTGAAATGCAAACATTCTTACTTGAAAATTAACAATTAAATGGATTCTCTCCGTATTAAGCCTACGTCAAACATAAGATTTCATAAAACTTGATACATTTAATAGAAATATGAAAGTATAAACACTTATCAAATACGCCGATATAATTTATACATAGAGATTGATAAGTTTATGTATATGATTTGTATATGATATGTATATGTATTATTTATGTATGTTCAAACTTTATGATTCTTTCTAAACTTCCCAGCTATCAGCAACAGTTTAATGCAGATAAGCACAGAGAGAAATAAGATAGGGTTTTTTCAAATATTGGTGCACTTTTTAACCTCGTTTGGGTCATCCTAACCCAGTTTGACCCGCCACAAAGAGGTATTACGAACGTCCTCAGCTAATGCGGTGGTTAACAAATTGGTTTACTATTTTGAAAATACGACCCATTCGTTTATCTGAGCGAGCGTGTAAAGACTGCCAGCATCCTTGCCTTTAAGGCGCCCCTTGAATTTCACGGATATCCCCTTGAAGGCAATTAAGGGTATATCCTTACCTTCAAGGCGCCCTTTCAAGGGTTATCCCCTTGAAGGTAATTAAGGGTATATCCTAACAATCAATGCTCCCCTTAAGGGATATACCCTTGAAGATCATTAAGGGTATATGCTTGCATACAAGGCTCCCCTTAAGGGATATACCCCTGAAGGCTATTAAGGGTATATCCTTACCTTCAATGGATTTACCTTTGGAGGGGAACAAGGGTATATCCTTACCTTCAAGGCGCCCTTTCAAGGGTAATACCCTTGAAGGTAATTAAGGGTATATCATTACCTTCAAGACTTCCCTTAAGGGGCTCTTGGTGCACGTCGAGTCAGCGACGCGGTTTAGTCTCGTCGAGATTCTATTCAAAGTTTCAACTAGAAGCCAAACCTCATAAATAATATCCACTCAAAAATATCCGGACCAACCAATATCGATCACGTCAATCATTCAACGATGTAATAGGTATAGATTATTGAAGTCACAGTCATATATATAACTGCACATGAATAATATACGAATAACCAATAGCGTAAATTTTCATTATTTTCCCTAAAAGTTTTTATGACCAAGACCCGTCGAACGCACACAAATTTAAAAAACTTATCGATATTAAATCGTTTTAATTTCAGAAATTTTGCAACAAAAATCTTTCCATTCTCATGCTTCGGAGAATACAGCTGTACGTTTTGACAATACCTTCGTGGTTGGAGAGCTTTTGGGTCGCATCGATTTGTTCCTGTCCGTGCCACAAGCTGAAAATCATGAATCAAGGGTCGTATTATGAAAATGTGTATTGACCTCTGATTTATTCGTATACATACATATGTATGTTTATATATGTTTGGTATTAACAAACACGTGTACTTATTAGTTCGAATCTAAATCAATGTTAGCTTTATTTAAATTTATTTAAATTAAACTAGAGTGGAATCAAATTGAATCTGCAATTGAAGTTCAAGTGAAAATAGTCCATCATTCCACACCATATGTATAATACGCTTCTTTAAAAGAGGCGGTCAGAACGTTTAACACAATACTCGTACACACGTCCGCATGTCGCAAGGCGATACATGTTCCGAAGCCAAACTATCTCTACTTGCTTAATTAAGTACACGCAACCTCAAGGTACTCGTAGGAACAAATTTCTAAATTATGGTTGGAGGGTTCAGCTTAAAAAGCCGTCAGTGATTGGTTGTCGAAGTAACTAACTCAACTGTGATTACGGTTCAGAGTACCAAGATTGGTGCAGAGAGGTGCGGGTTCGATCCCAGCTCTGTGCGCCAGTTTCTGGTCAGAATCGGCGATTCTGACCGATTCACTGCAGAATTGTAGCAGTGAGTTGTGCGAGTTCGAAACTGCATCAAGCTGTGAATATTCTGCGATGTTTAGAATGGGCGACAGGCCTACGGCCTAATAATGCTGAAACCGCTATTATTATTATTTATTATAACTATTTGCGATATATTTGGCCCAAGAATTACTAGAGTGCACCCGAAGAGCTTCCTGTTCTCTGGTTCGCTCACCTCGTGGGGGCGTGGGCCGCTGAGGCGGCGGCGGCGGCCAGCGCCAGGACCAGGCAGAGCTGTGGCCCCACGCGGCAGATGGACGGCGGTCGCATCGCGTCACTGCACAGAATTATTCCTAGCCGCTCCTGGGAGACCGGAACTACGTATTCATAAGTTCTCAAATTAGGAATATGGTTCTACATGAACGATGCCACCGACACCCCACATGCCACCGACACCCCCCATGCCACCGACACCCCCATGCCACCGACACCCCCCATGTCACATGTCACCGACACCCCACATGCCACCGACACCCCCATGCCATCGACACCCCCATGCCACTGACACCCCATGCCACCACCACATTTGCTTTGTTATGTTCAAGTTCCAACATAAGTTTGGTCACAGGCTGTGCATATGGCTCGAACATGGGATAAAAGGTTTGATTGCGCCAATGTTTCAGCCGAGGTTCAATCATGTCCTCCCATTTGTTGAATCATCCGCAGATGCAACAATGAAAAATGGTATATATGTAATCCTAGAAGGTCATACATAAATAATATGTACACAGAACCCAGCTTTTCATTGCGCAAACGCGAGAAAGTTTGGAACTAATGCGGAGATAAAGAGAAATAATGAGGACAATCTTGTTCTAAAGAAAGAACACTTCTCGATAAAATAATTTGTCTGGTCTGCAGCCATAATTCCAAGGTACCAATCAACCGTATAAATTTTATTCAGCAGCGGCGGTAGCGACGACTTTGAATTTAGTTAGGAACCAAACCGCCTTGCGACGAAAGAGAAATTCAGTTCAGTCTCAAACAATCGTCATTTCCACATACCGGCACTTGAATTTTAAGTTCAACCTTAGTTTGTCTGACAATCTGCTGGACCTGAAAAATTAAACGAACGATAGCATATTCATTGCAAGCAATTCGCTACTTCATTATGCGTCGAAAAAATCGTCCGTGAATTTTTTTGCCAACTGCTAAGTAGGTGTAGTTAAACTTTCAAATAAAAATCCTTTCAAACTAGAATAACTTTATATACATTATCTGAAGATTTGCGAGGGCAGCACTGAACCAACCGCATAATTCATCAAGGTTAATCTTAATTAGCGATGTAGTTCACCTCCGCATTGGTTAATGGTCCAAGTGACGTGAATTTGACGTCACTCCTGGACAGTCCTGCTGACCAATGAAAGCTAATCCGATTAGGCAATTCATTTTAATCGTCGTCAATGCTATTCAGTATTCATACATGAAGTCCTGAGACCGAGAGGTCACGTCAGTTCACAAAGGGATTTCAATAATAGCAAACTAACTATTTTCTAGTCATCGAAATTATCTATCAACATCAGACACTTATTTCACACACTCAATGGTTTTTTCTTACATATCCATTATATTGCGTAATTTATAATGGCTTCTCGCACAGAAAATCATAACTTAGCAAAAATACATAGCGATCACTAGAGTTAGAAACATTTTTATGCGTGTGTAACTATCCGTTATTTTTTGACTGAACTGGACTATACACTATATACAATTATTTCAATTGCACTAGCGAATCAGAAAGGTTTAAATATCAACATACCGAGCACTCGTTGTTTCAAATCGGATAGTTCAAGCACTTAGCACCTCAACTTAACTAACAGAACAGAGACTTTGTTTTCTTAAATTAGAAACATATCTGGAAAAGAAACTTCTCATCATAAGAAGAATACTTCCTTATCGGAATTAAACAATTTTTATTCATTAATATTATTTGCTTGCATGAACTTTATTCAAGTCTCGCTTCTGAGTTCATCGGTGTTCCAAACACCCGTAAAAATTTCTAACTCACGAGTCACGAAGACCATTTTTTTTTTTTTTAATTGCTTTTAAGACTTCGGGTATGAACAGATCACACCTCCCAGCCTGAGCACAACTGGGTTTCCTTGTACTATATTGCCACTCTGATTTCAAAGTAGATCTCTAAGGCCTCTCATCTCAGAGGCCAGAGGGAGAGAGCCAGTTGCGTCTGAATGTATTAATTGTAGGTTTGAGCAAGGGATTACAAATAAATCTGAATATCTATAGCTTCAAAATTCGCCGGTTATTTCAAGGAACGAAAATTACACACGTGCTTTCGCCACGAACGCAACTGACTTTCTCCCACGAAGACCATGAATCCACACGCCAATCAGGATTCAAAATGTTGCCACAGGAAAGAATTTATTGACACTATTACAGATGCATTAAATAAAATTCATCTGTAATAGTACAGATGCAATATTACAGATGCATTATGCAAATAAAATATTATCGGAACTCATTGAATGCTTCTCTCCAAAATTTGTGGTAATTGATTATAAGAAAAGTCGTACACTTTCCTCATTTTCAAAGCACATCTAAAAGAACGTATAAATGTTCAACAGCTCCAGGTTCTTATCGACTTTGTTATATAAAAAAAAACAGGTAATTTGAACGATGTTTCTGCATCAATATTCAATTACTGCACTGAACTCTGAGAAAAAGTTTGCTTAACTTTTGAAGCTTGTGAGATTACCGAATTAAGCAACGAATAACAATGGGACAACTATTTACATCTCTGATAAAACATTTTGCAGTTACTGTCAAAACATTTTTTACGCTCGCAGAAAATAATTCTGTGGCTAACTGCAAATTTCTCCAACTGACGGTGGAAACTATTCATATCAAGCAAATAAAGAGCTCACTTGGATAAAGTTATTTTATACCTACCACCTAAAATAATCCCAATTATTGTACTATGATTTTCGTTTGAAAATCTTCGGGGGACCATCTTAATTATACGCTCCAATCTCTAAGATTACTTTATATATCTCGATGAAATTATGTAGCTGTATAGACTCTGACTATAGATACTTTCAAAGTCGTCATTATCACTATATGCTAGTGTGTATTAAGGACTCCCAAACGTGTTCGTTGAAGTTATTGTGAATTTAATCGAAATTTTAATAGCTTAAAATTCTGGGTACATTTGTTCTTCGAGCCTAAAAAAACTTTGAAGACGCCACTAACCATTACTAATTAACAACATGACTGGCATAAAAGATAACTACCGGTATGTTATTGGCTTTATTTCATTTTTTGATGACATCTTCCATCATAACTTAATAAGTGAATTCTAACTAATCTGATCTTCAACACTAAGCTGCTTTGTAAATGGTAAAATCATATACATGCATCGTGTTATCATGTTATTAAATAAAACAAATTTGAGGGATATCGCTGCTTTGACGTAATTCTTTTTTTAGTGGAAGACAGAAATAGACGAGCGAAAATAATTTCAAGACAAATACAATCACCCCTAAAGAAGACATACGTAAAATAATAAAAAAGAAATCACTATATACAATTTCAAGTGGTCGATCCAAGGTTCAGCAAAACTATTTCCCAATGCCGTGTGCAAGGACAATATTAGGTGCGTCTGTCAACGACACGCGCACTCTACTTCTAGTTTTTCATAGCACTAGGAAGAAGCCCAAGCACGAATATACTAAATTCCCAGCACGACAACAGCTTTTTATAATTATCATTATTCATTAAATCCCTAATTTTAGGCAAGGACGCTAAAAGAACTTGATAATTATCAGTTTACCGCAAACAAGCTCCAAGGACGCCCATGTTTGCCGTCCGATTAGGACGATGAGTTTAATGACGATTAACTATTTTCCTTGTATTTGGATAAAAAATTGTGTATAATCGAACAATACGAGACAATAAAAATATTCAGGATGTCCGTCTGTGATAATTTGACCACAGCTTGCTCTCTTATCCATGTACGAGGAACATGAGAGCAAGATTCTTGATTCGTGCTCTTTCATTCATTAAATCCATATTCTATCAAACTTCGCCTATAATTGTTACCTAAAATATCCTAAATTAAATAAATTAATAATGAATGAGAGAGCAAACGTCAATAACTATTGATGTTTGGAATAGTATGGAATTAGTGAATGCGAGAGCAAACATCAATAACTATTGATGTTTGAAATAATATAGGATTAATGAATGAGAGAGCAAACATCAATAACTATTGATGTTTGAAATATGGAATTAGTGAATGAGAGAGCAAACATCAACAACTATTGATGTTCGCTCTCTCATTCATTAATTCCATTTTCTCTCGAACTTCATCGAAAATTACTACCTCAAATGCGCTAATTTGATTCAGGATCATGCAAGTATTTATTGAGTTCGATGCAAAGTAAAAAGTAAAATATTTTTATAAGGTATCCACACATCGTGATTTGCCAAGGCCAAATGCCCGATGCTAGTCAGTCCATCTTTAATATAATATGTCTCGTCACCACACACAAAAACTAAGAAGATCTAAACTGCACCACGAATCTTTTTCCCAAGTCAATTTTTTTTAATTGTCCTGATTTCCTGATTCAGTGAAACTTTTATAGAACTTCGGTGAGATTTAGTTCATTCAATGTTTCTATGCTTGTAAACTGTCTTTACATCGCTTGCTAAAGATACTCTACAGATGCCAAAAACAATACTCTACTGAAATAACAATTTATCGACTGTAGCTGATGATAGAGAAGCCAAGTCTTTGCATTTCCGACATGATTTTGATCAAGACAATTCCTCGAGTTCGCGTCCTTCTTTCCTTGATTCGTAAGCCACTACAACAACCATTATGGGCTCAATAAACCTATTTCAAATCTAAACTATAAAGGAATTAGTAGCAAACTGATATATATTCTATTCAGTCAAATTTCATCGTCTTCAGTACCAGAGATTTTTACTCCGCAACGACTCTATTCAAAATTCTTTTCCGACTCTCAGTTTGTTTTCCCATAACTGGCTTAATGCCATTAGCTTCATCAATGCAAGGCCTCGAGGTGCCGGAGAAGTTGAGTAATAAAGCACCTTAAATTTAGGACTGTTAGACTTGTCGCAACAGTAGCAGCGGAGCGCCCGTATTAATGCCCTGACAAGTGCCTAGTAATTAACAGGCCAGCGCCACGCCGCTTGAAGCGCTTAAGCCAAACAAATAATGAGACTGAAGATGACTTCCCGGGCACACGTCGCGCTGATGGTCCTTTACAGGAGCCGTGCTATCAAAACTTTATTAGGTACACTTTGTGACCTGAGTACTCTAATG